AAAACGAGATACACTGTAAAGAAGGCGTAATATAATCGGAAGAACAAACAAACAAAGAAAAAGTGAAAATTTGTACGCATTTTGCGCACAAAAATATATATATATATATAACGGGAGAAGAACAATAGGAAAAGAAAAGACGAAAAATCAGCAGCACCAATAATCTAGTGTTGCAATAGAACAAGAAAAACGCAACATTCTAGTCTTCCAAAAAAAACGAAAGAAAAGTATCAACTACAAATAAACAGAACAAAAAAATTAGCCACAAAAAATTACATGATTATCCCAAGACACATACATGACAAGTTGCATAGACAAAATAGAACAATCCTTAACCAAAAAGAAGAGAAGAGAAGAGAAGAATATATAGGTAGTTATATGTATACACAATGAAACAAATAGAAAAATATCGAGACTAGATAGAATAGACGAAACTGATGAAAACAATAAACAGGACCGGGAATAAACAAAAAAAAATGATAGAAAAAGAAAACTAATATAGGGAAAACAGCCGGTGGTGATATTTATTCAATATTATGTGTATTTCTTTTCTTTTACTCACAATACACACCGGAACTGTACACACATAATCACTGTTCGAATACAAAATATGCTCAGTGTATTTTTCTTCTGATGTTTTTTTTTATATTCACCGGCATTACAGACAGAAACGCTAACGATAATGATGTTATTGACTGAAAAATAATAATCAGATGGAAAATACTGCTAAAGATCAGAACAAAAATAATAATAACAACGAAGAAGAAGAAGAAAAACCAAAAAAAGAGAAAACGGGGTTCACTGTTCTCACAACACACAGCACGAACATATAGAAGAAGAAGAAGAGAAAAAAACAAAAGATAGAAAATGAAAAAAAAAGAGGCCATTCTACATAAGAAATACTGTTCGCTAATACATCAGAATAAACTATACAAAATACGTACATTTGAGTGAACTTCTCAATGTACTTGTAGAAATGAAGCCCAAACACAAAAAAAATTCGTATTGCGAATAAATGAATGATGATAATCAAGAGATTTAACCTTGTTATAATGCACACGAATTAAAACATATATATTTATATATATTATATTCACACCGATTAACTTGTCCCAAATTGTTCATGAGAATCACTATCGATTTGTGCATTAGATATTGAAGGTGATGGTACACCAGCTGTTGATGTTGAAGGTGGACCTTGTAATGACTCAGCATCATCAGATGGTATCATAAGCCCTGAAGTACCATCATCAAATGTTTCACTTGTACTTAAACGATGAACATCATTTGTCATTGATACCATTGAATTACTAGTCGTAGCAGTAGTAAGAAGAAGTGAATTGGGTGTTGCTGTTGCAACTGATCCTGGACTCATCGATAAACCACGAGTTGCTGAATGAACTGTACGTGCATGACGTCGTAAACTATTTGAATGACGAAATGCTTTACCACAATTCGCACAAGTAAATGGCTAAAAATAAAATAAAATAAATAATTTATGATAAGTATCAAAGTTTTATCTTAGATTAATTCAATTGATACTCAAAACGAGACGTAGATATAAATACTGATCCTAATTCTCATAAAGAATTCGAAGATGCTACAAAAGAAAATATATAAAAATAACATACTTTAACACCACTATGTATTCGTAAATGACAACTTAAATTTCCTTGTTGACCAAAACGTTTATTACATATTGGACATTCAAATGGCTAAAATAGAAATAATAAAATATTTTTTCGTTAATATCGACTAAAAATTTTTACTTTTTTCTTGCTATGTTCTCGTGTATGTGCTTCTAAATCAGCATAAACAGGAAACACTTTTTCACAATGTTGACACTAAAATCAAATCAATATAATCATCTATAAATATTTGTATTTGAATATTACTTTAAAACCCGTATTTGTAAATTTTTGATTTCCATGTACATTGATAATATGTTTTTTAATATCATCATCATGAATTCCACATATCCAACATTGTTTTTCATTTTTTGCATGTGTTTGACAATGAATTAAATGTGCTTTATCACTGAATAAGATTTTTCCACATTCAGCACATGATCGTGGATCTAGTTTACTTTGTTGTTTTTGTTGATTAGTTGTATTCATATCATCATTGAGTGTTGTTTGATGATTGGGTGAAAGTAAATCTAATGTTGGTGTTTGAGATAAGTTAATTTTTAAATTATTTGTATAATCATATTGACCAGGTATTGTTGACATTTTTTGTCGTTTTGAATGTGCCGTACGTCGACTTAATGAGGGAGAAAGAGATAACGACGAATCATTCGGTGTCGCACTCTCTCTACGATCTAAATATTCATTTTTATTAACAAATAAAAAAAGAATTATTATATAAGTTCTTAACAAACCTTCATCAGCAGATTGATATTGATTTAAATAATTCTGCTGATAAGATGGACTACCATTTTCCATTTTAGCATTGATCTAAATAAATTAGAATAGATTTACATTTGAATTTGGTTTATCAAAAAGTCAGATATAAGTACAAGATAGACTACTGAAATGTAAATAATGACTTAAAGAACGTACCACAAGATTATGAACATCTGCTGTTGATTTAGTTGATGATGGTAAAACTCGATTTGATTGTTGCAAACATTTCAGGGTTAATTCAAGTGGATGGTCAATTGAATCATTCATATTATTAGGATCTGTGGATTCATGTTCAATTGTTGGAGATATCTAAATAGAAATATAATCGATAAAATATGAAGAAGAAGAAAATAAGGAATATATACATCATCATTATTATTATTTGATGATCGATGATTTGTTATAACACGTTTTCCAGGTGTTGATTTTCTTTTTCTACCACCTCCAATTTGTTTAGCATTCGGTGTTATTAATGACATTGGTGTTATATTAGATTTGATTTGTGTAGCTGAAACAGCAGCAGCTGCAGCTTGTGCTACTTGTGCAGCTGCTATTGGATCATTGAAGCATTGCAAAAGAAAATTTCTTTGCATATTAGCAATTGTATTCATCATTGGATCCATATTATTATTATTAGAATGATTTAGATTTTGACCCATATTCGTTGAATTAGCCGCAGATTGCATCATATGAGCAAGACGTAATTGAAGAAGATTTGGATCTGTTTCTTGAAGTAAATTCATTGTATTACCTGTTGTTATTAAACCATTTGAACCGGATAAAGCATTCATAGAATTTGTTTGTAAACGATGAAAAAATTCAGTTAAATTTTGTTGTTGAGATTTTTCAGGTGAGCTCCTTATTAATCCATCTTCATCTTCCTCATCTTCATCTTCATGATCATTATCATTGCACGGACGATTAGTAGTATTAGTTAAATGAACTTTTGATGTTAATAAACTTGATGAAGAATCACCGCCAGAAGATGGTGATGTAAATTGAAGAGATTTTAGTTGATTTGATGATTTTATATTTGTTGATACATTTGGTTTACTTGTATCATCTTGTTCGTCATCAAATTCCTAAAAAAAGAATTACATAGTGTCTATACAATCTTTTCTTTCTATTGTATACGAACCTCTTCATCGTCAATATCATCAAATTCTTCATCTGAATCTGAATGAATAATTGGTATTGGTTCATCTTTCACTGTTGTATTTTGTTGTTGTTGTTGTGATCTTTTCTTTTGAAATGTTGCTGATAATGATGATGTTCGAAGACGATTTGATTTATTTAATTTAATCTTTAATTGATTTATTGTTTTTCTTAAATATTTTGCACATTGTTCAATATCTAATAATACCATCGAACAATCATAACATATTAAATTTGAAAATTTTCTTGTTTGATCAATTTGTGTATGTAAATAACGTAGAATTAAATCTCGAAAACAAACAGTTTGATTTCGTATTTTAATTTGATATGGATTTAATTTATTTATTGGAATTTTTTCACGTTCAATATGTTTAAATAAATGATAGGATTTTTGACAACATATCGAACGATCACGTAAAAGTAATGAAAAACATAGACGACAACGATCACGTGTTTGAACAACAACAGTCATGATAAATTTCTTATATATTATTAACGATGGATACTGTTCAGATAGATGAATTGATACATAATTATTCACATGTAATTCATCAAGGCTAAAAAAGAATTTTTTCTTATGTATATAATACCACAATCTACAAAACAACATTAACACATAGAATATCAAAGACGTTTACATTAAGCTATATATATATATATATGGATCAACAAAAAGAAAAACGAAACAACATTGATCAACAACGATGATTGTTCTATTTTTTTTATTTTATCCTACCCTTCTCGAATAAAAATCATTCTGAATCGATTACTACAATTGATCAACTAGACGAAATGATCCTTCACGTCGTGGTGGTAAAACGTGAATAAAATTTCGTTTAACATCATTTCCACTATTAACATAACGATATAGTGGACTATGTGGATGTGGTTTTACTGATTCAGTTGTGATTACAACGAAACCAGGTACCATTGATCGAATTGTATAATCATATGCAACGGATGCCTAATAAATATAGAGAATATAATAGTCAATTTTCAAAAAAGATAATATATTTACATTTTCACCAGGATATAAAACTAAATTGTTCTGTAAAGTAAGAACTGTATCTTTTTCAACCCATTGACCATCTTGTACTTTTATTGTACGATGTTTTGCTAAACGTAAATTTGGTTTAAATACTTTTGCTCCACGTAATGATTGCTGAACAACTACAAAAAATAAACTAAATGAATTTTCGATTGAGATATAAATATATTTACTTGATTGAGTAGTACATAAATTGGCAAGTGTTTTAAGGGCAAACATCTAGAAAAAAAAAGAGAATAGAAATAGGTTGAACGACAACACAAGGTTTAATTGATTTTTGCCGCATCGCTATCGCATGCACACATCCACGTTGATTGCTGTATTGTACTATCAGCAACCTTGTCACGACCTTCAATGACCTTCTAAACCAAGGTCGCTTCCGAACTGAACATCCCCTTTCTTTTCATCCTATTAATGTATATAACAGTAAAAGAAAAAAAAAATGAAATAGATCCATTTACGTTCATCATAATCGACCCTGTATGTATATGTGTAAGGGAGGTCTTCTCTTTTTTTTTTCTTTCGCAATCGCCTTGAACAAACAGACAGCCGGCTGCTGCTGCCGTCGTTTCGTTGAATGTTATTAACCTTGGAAGAGAAACATTTGTCCGACTCTTGGTCCTCTACATAAATCGTTCGTTTTATGCACTGTGCGTTCAATGATGTTCAGATAGTTCTTGAAGATTCATCGAAAAAAAAATAGAAAAAACAAAATTAATATTATTAAATAAATATTCTTTATTTTCATTTATTTAGAAAATAATAACCATGGACAAATCATTCAATGATAAGAATCGATGCTCAATAGTTCAATTTTGACGACGAATGTAGCGCTTCTCATCGACAATGATTGGATAATTGAGTTCGTCCAATACAAAAATTTATATTATTCGAAACAAAAATATACAGAAAAACAGATTTTTATATTGATATTATGAGTCTTTTTCAGTTTATTATTTAAAAATGAAATTAATTATTCATACATAAATAAAACAAAATAAAAACAACAATATAAACTTGAAAGAGAAATTATTATCTGAGAAAAATTTATTATAGATCATAGAATTCTTTTACTTTATCGGTAGAATGAAACGAAAAGGATTAAATTCACCGTCATATTTGTCTCTAATTGTATATCGATAATTTCAACAAAATATAAAATAATACTTAATGTTTCGGGTATATTCAATTTTACAAGAAAACTCTAGGTTAAAGTATCGCTTAATTGAGATGACAATGTGTTAGTTATTGCTACAAACAAAACTTCATTAACTTTAAGTCTATATTATCGTCTTGAAAGTATTTAGAATGTAGATCAAATTCGAGTCATACTTTGAAATGTTCTACAAATTATTCATTATACAATTCTAAGCATCTAACGTAACTCATAATTATAGAAAAAGACTTTGGGATATAAATTTAAAACAAATGCACATCAAAGTTCTAGATGCAACTATTGGCGATTATAAGTATACCGGATAATTCTTACTATACTGCGTGTATTTCTAATTTCTCAAAAAAAGCATGATACCTAAGATAAAATTCTTTGTGCATCTTACTAATACATTATTAAAGGTTCTACATAATAGTAGTTTTCCCTTCTCAAATGTGACTAAACCTAAAAATTTGTCAAACTCTACATATTGTAAATTATTCATAGATTATAATTACCCACCCATCACACATAATAATTTCAATCGTTATAACAGCGTTTAATCCTTATATCTATTAAGACGATAGCAATATTAAATAGATGTATAGCAGTGTCATCTATATTTCCGATATAAAAATATTGTTAAAATATAAAATAAACATTTTCTCCCACTTTTTCAACTTCTTAATTAGACTTTTTTTTCTAAAATATATTGTTTTATCATATTGAATTATGCGATGGTACAATGCGTCAACTTTATTATTGGTTGTCAACATTTCATCTTGTTTACTAGTCGAATATAATACTTACTTAAAAACAAACATTTTTATTATACTTATGGATAGTTGTAGTATTTGAAAAATAATTTCATAAATTTTTGCTTTGATTTCTAGATCTTGTTCTCTATATTCTCAATCATATTTCACCGAACAAGAAAATAACATCATGGTTCGATATTCACGTAAGTTTCGAATTTTTTCTTTTTCTTCTCTTAAAATTTTGTCTTTTGATTTATAGGTACTGTCGAAAATCCAGCAAAATCATGCAAAACTCGTGGTGCCTACTTACGTGTTCATTTTAAAAATACACGTGAAACAGCTAACACCCTTAGACGTATGACTTTACGACGTGCAACACGTTATTTAAAAAATGTTATCAATAAAAAGGAAATCGTTCCATTTAAACGATACAATGGCGGTGTTAGTCGTAAAGCTCAAGCTAAACACTTCAAAGTGTCTCAAGGTCGTTGGCCAAAGAAATCTGCTGAAATTCTTTTAGGATTATTGAAAAATGCTGAATCAAATGCTGATGTTAAAGGTCTTGATGTTGATCATCTTGTTATTGATCATATTCAAGTAAATCGTGCACCAAAAATTCGTCGTCGTACATATCGTGCACATGGTCGTATTAATCCTTATCAAGCATCACCATGTCATATTGAATTAATTTTAAGTGAAAAAGAAAATCTTTTAACACGTACTGGTGGTGCTATTGAAGATGAACCAGCAGCTAAAAAGAAAGAATCGAAAAAGAAACTCAAACGACAAAAGATGATGAATAGAGAATAAATATTTTATTTGTAACATCATTATACAAACAACAGAAAAAAAAAATAAAATAAAAGAAAATCCGTTGTTTTGAGAAACAGTATTTTTTGTCATGTTTCTTTCAATAAAAACACAAAATAAATCCATCGACGGATCGAAAAAAATCTAATGTTCATTGTTTTTGTTTTGTTTTATATTAAGAGAAGAATAAATTTGATAAAAAAAATAAAAAAGAGCATTCAAAGATTTTGTTGTGCAGACACTTGTAGATTTTTACGTTAATCGTGTTTCTTTTCAATGGAATTATTTACAAGAGCTAGAAATACATTGTTTGGAGCAACTCAACCAAGAAATGTTCATTCACTTGAGAATCTTAAGTAAGATTATAATCATAAAAAAAGTTATATCAAAGTAACTCTTCTCTTTATTCAGATATTTATATGGTGTTCTACAACGAAACACAACTGTATCCGATGCCAATCGCGATTTATTAACTGAAACACTTCGCAGTATTTCAGAAATTCTTATATGGGGCGATCAACATGATAGTTCTGTATTTGAGTAGGTTTTTCAATGAATTCTTATTTAAGAGAAACTATAATATTCGTAATTTTGTGTAATTAATATCATTTAAAATACTTTATGCATTACATGAGCATAAAACACAAAAATGAGATCACATTTCCGATAGTAAACAGATAAGATTTGGGCGAAATTTTTAGTTAAATAAATCAAATGGGGCAAATACAGATTTGATCATGATGATCCAAAGCTAATACTTTACAGCATACGTTCCTATTATTCAAAATCGATCATCTTTCACAGAGCTTCATGTATGATTAACAGTTTAAATGACTGAATGTATAGTTTATCCCATATATTTCGCTTAAAACATAATCCTCAAATTACAAAATCGATATATATGATGATTGTATTTATATTTTTTCTAGTTATTTTCTTGAACATGGAATGTTAATTTATTTTCTTAATTATATGCGTCAAAAAAATGGACGTTTTATATGTGTACAAATCTTACAAACACTTAATATACTTTTCGAAAACATTCGTGATGAAACATCATTATGTGAGAAAATTTTCTTTCGAAATAAAAATAATAATTTCCTTTTTTTTTTCTACTATAGATTATCTTCTATCCAATAATCATGTTAATAATATAATTTCACATAAATTTGATTTTAGTGATGAAGAAATAACTGCATATTACATATCATTTCTCAAAACACTTTCATTAAAATTAAATAAACATTCAATACATTTCTTTTATACTGAAGTATATTATTTTTTTTTCGAAAAAAAATTATTTTCTATTTTTTTATGTCTTCATAGAGAACTAATGAATTTCCATTATATGTTGAAGCAATTAAATTTTTTAATCATCCAGAATCAATGATTCGTATTGCTGTAAAAACTTTAACACTTAATATTTATAGAGGTATAAAAAGAATACATGTTTTGTATTACGAATGTAAAATCAATTATTTTTCTTTATAGTACCTGATCCAGCAATGCATCGTTTTATAATAGATTGTACAGCAACAGAATATTTTTCTAATTTTGTTTGGTTTATTCGAAATCAGGTTTTAGATTTCGATAATATAGTTCGAAATAATCGAGAGTAAGTGGTGATTATTTAGTTATTTCTTATTTTTATCATGATTTTTCTAGAATTAATAATCGTGGTCAATTAACATGTTGTTTAGAAGAATATTTGGATCATATACATTATATTCAAGATATATTTTTACTTAATGTCGATAGTCTTAATAATGTTCTTAAAGATCAATTAATGAATCGATTACTTATACCGGTTTATATATTTTCATTGATTAAACGTGATAAATTCTCTCGAGTTAAAGTAAATTCATTGAAAATTTCATAGAAAAATCAATGATGTCTTTCTTTCAAGGATCCGCGAATCATGCTTGATCAATTATCAACTCTTTTTCTACTTGCTGAAGTAAGTTAGAAAACTCTTATTTCTTATTTTATTAATTATTCAGATTTTTCTTGTTATTCAATACCGACCTGTGGTTGAAGAATTAGCTGATCTCATTATTTCAGCTGATATTGAAACTGTTGAAGCTATTCAACATCGTTACGGTGAACAGGTAGATAAGATTTTAAAAACGAATTCTATGTATATATTTCAAATTTTGTTGTTATGTTTGTAGATTTCTTATAGTTTACCTCCAACGTCTCTTGAAGTCTGTTTAGCTAAAAATGAACCGAATGAAGATGATACGAATGAATCAGGTATTCATTTGTTGTTTGTTGTTTGTTTTTTTTTTATAAAACTTCTTAATTAAATAGAAATTTCATTAAAAGTGGTAGATATTAATGATGAACAGGAACGACGTCAATATGAAGATGAACGTTCACGAATACAAACTGCTTCATCAACATCGATTAATAATAAAACTATTGAATCCAGTATAAAACCAGCATCTTTATATATATCAAATTGGACTGATGATGAAAAATATAGACGTAGTAAAGATCCAATGCGTTTGAATAATAGTCAATTAGCCGAGAGGTAAAAATTTCGAAGAATTTCTCGTCATTTAATTCATACATACTTCATTTAGACCTTATTTTGAAACATTAATAAACGCACTTGAATGCAATGAAAATGATCAATTATGTTTCTATGCATTGAGTGTATTATTAACTATGACAACAAATCCATGTAAGTTTATTCTGTTATTTTATTCAGAATAATTAATTTTTTTCTTATTCTTCAGCGATCGATAGTATTATTCTGGAATCCGTCTGTTTAACAGTCAAATCATCAGTTTGTTTATTTTATTTGAAGTTTTGTTCGAATTTTATGATTGAAAATTTTTAGGAAAAAAGTTTTTATAATACATTATTAGTCGATAAACTTTGTGATATTCTCCTATCAGCTACAAAACAAGGTTAGTATACGAAAAAATTTCTTTTCTATTTCCAAAAAAATAATTTTGTTTATTTCAAGATTCAAATATTCGTATTGTAACATTAAGTTTAACAATAATGTTATTAAAAAAAACTTGTTTATAATGAAGAAACTCATATTTCTTATCTATCTGATTATCATTTCTCTCAAATTGAACAAGCACGTAAACAAGCAACAGATGATTTAAAAGGATATTATCCAGTAAAAATTTATTTGAAATATTTTCTATGATAAGATCATTTTTTTAGCAACAAGAACTTTTACTTGATATGTTTGAAGATGAATATCGACAAACGCAATTAAATCCAATACGTATTGAATATTTACTTAAAGATTCATGCATGCTATTTCAACCAACAACAACACCATTGAGTGGTGTTGAATTCATAAAACGTTTACCATCGGGTGATATTGAACGAGCTAGACGAGTAGGTTTTTTTTTAAAGGAAATTTTTTGGAATTAACGATTTCTTTTGTTTCAGTCAATTCGAGTATTTTTTCTTATTCGTGCATTATTTCTTGAATTAAGTTTAATATCAGAAATTGAATTACCATTAACAAAACCAGAAAATTTGTTTAAAGAAGATGATAAACTTGATTTAAGTAAGTTAAATAAATTTTTTTGTTGTATTTTATGTTTGGTTTTAAGGTAATGGAGATTTAATTGCTTGTACTATTCATATGAAAGAAAGGTAGAAAATTTTATATTCAAAAAATTTTATTCTATTATTTGATTCATTCAGAAAAGATCGTCGTTTTCTTGTAATTGATCAAATGCAATTTATTCTTATTGAACCTGATATTAAAAAATCTAATTGGGGTATTGTCAAATTTTGTGATCTAATGCAGGTTAGTATTCAAAATTCATATTAATAGTAGTTTTATCTTGATTGATATATTATGAAATCCTATCAGTAAGATTTCTCTTTTTCTTTCTCGTTATGGTAATTATCGATTCATGGTCATTAATAGTTTATGAGTACATAAAATGTTCATTTCTATTATTTAGTGTTAAGTACATTTGAATCTTTCATAATTCAAATAATCTCTTATTGTAATTGTATGTCAATAGTTTATTAATTTTCTCTAAGTCAAAATTACTACAACTAATCATTACAATAAGTATAAACATATACGAGCGATGACCGTGACTCATAGTCAAGGCTATAATTATGATTTGTGACCAAAGAAAGAAATCATGGTCATATCAACCTATAGTATTTTCATGATATATTTTTTTTTATGAATTTTTGAAAATAAATAATAAAAAAACGAATATTTTGTAATTATGCAAATCGAGATTTATAGTTAAGATTTACTATGCAGTATCAAAGTTATATGATCTTGAAAATATTTTCTTGTTGTCAAGCCTAAATTGATTTTCGACATTAGGATCAATTCATTATTAGTTAAATCATTCATTGGATCTAAACTTAAATCATATTGTTAGATACATATTTCTAACACTCTTTAAATACTAAACCCATACTGAATATATTTTACTCTTATCTCAAATTCATTCAGTCGGCTACTAATATTCGACAGTGTTATAATATAATATATTCAACTCCTTAAGTTACATTATAAGAAATTTTCTACGTTTAATTTTAGGATGTTGAAGTAACAAATGATAAAGAAGATAGTCGTTCATTACATATAACAATTCATAAACCTGTTACAAATATATATGTAAAAACGAGTCCACCTATTCTTAATGCAAAATTTACATTTGATGATCATATTCGTTGTATGACAGCTAAACAAAATTTAATAAAAGGTCGTCAAAGGTATTTTCTATTGATTTATTTTTATTTCAATAATAAACTAATTATTTTATTTTTTTGAAGAGCTCGTCAAATAAAATTAACAAAAATTGCTTCAATACTCGATATAGACATCACATCATTAAATACAATAAATCAATCAAAACTTTCATCACTATCAACATATTCTCAACATCAATTAGGTAAAGATTTTAATTTAACTGTAGTTCGAAAATGTCCCGTTAAATATTCATTATCCGATTCTTGAGTTGATGATATACGTTTAATTTTTGCATAACGTAATTGAGTTGGTTGTATTAATAATGGTTGTCTATTGCTATTAGTTGAATAAATTAATGAATCATTATCACGTCGACGATATTGACATAAACATTTATGATTTTTACAATTGATTTTCATATTAAATATTGTTCGAGGATCTGTTGATTTCGTATGAAAATGAATAAATCGATTTGAAAATGAATGTAATTCATAATTTATTCTTTTATGCCGTCGATAATAAATAAAATAGATAAGAATTGAAAATATTAAAAATGCTATTGTAAGAAGTATTAACCATATAATTAAAACTTGTTTATCAGATGTTCGAAAATATGTTGGAAGAAGTTTTTTACTCGTATTGAATATCCATAATAAAACCGATGGAAGTTTTGTTGATGGTTTTATTAGAACTAATGTTTGATTTGTTGACGATTTCATTTTAATTCTATTTGTTCTATTTAATAATGATGATATTTTTGATATTAAAGGAATTATTGTGTAGATTGATTCGGATTGAATTGAAGTTAAATTGAAACAGATTAAATATTTTTCTGATTTGTCACTTAATGCATATAAATATTCAATTGAAATTGAACGATTTTGTTCAATATGCCATGCAGATATTAATGTAATGTTTTCGTTTGTTTTATTTTTCCATATATCAATTGTTGATGATAATGCACATGTTAGGTTTTGTTGTTTTGAACGATTTATTGTTATTAAAATATTTGCTTTTTTACGAAGAAAACATTGTCGAGCTATATCACCAGCATTTTGATTTTTATATTGTATTGGTGTTTGACATATTGGTATTGGTCGACTCAATGAAAGTATTAAAACATTTTGACATGAACAATGCCAATAATTATAACTTAAATTAATTAAACGTAATGATTGACGTGGAAAATTAATAAATAAAATATGTTTTAAATAATTATTATTTAAATAAAGTTCTTTTAAATGTATTAAATTAATAAATGTTTTTCTTCTTATATGTACGAGTTGATTATAACTTAAATCAAGTTTTTGTAATGATGGAAAATAATATGAAAAATTTCGATTGATAATATGTAATGAATTATGTGAAAAATTCAAATGTTTAATACTATATAGAATAGGTGAAACAGATAATGATCGATTAAATATGACAGGCGATAAACGTGTAAGATGAGCGTGTGTTATTGACATAGATTCAAGATAATTCCATAATGTATATTGATCGAAGTAAAATGTTTTCATGGTACAATTTTTTGTTATATACGATTTAATAATTGAATAAAATCGTTCTTGTGAATCGAATACATTATCTGTTGTATTACAAATAATATTCACTTTTTCTACATCAGAACGATTAATTGGAAATATATTTAAACAATTATAACATGATCGAAATAACATTGATGTACATGGTACACAAGAAGAATTCAAAGAATAACATCTCAAAATAAATAAATTTAATAGAATACCTATAAAAAATTGCATTGATATTGATTATTGTATTACCAAATGATTTGTCACAAATGCATAGGACAGACAATTGTTGTCGCTACATCTCACACTATTCTTCATCGATTGATTAATCTGTATCATACGTATGTATATGTATGTACACATTTACTCACGCACACACACGTCTCACATCCACTATCATTATACATTATTACTATAAGTGTGACGAGCTAGATGATATTTTAATAGAATAACAACTATTAATATCGACAGGCGATATATGGTGACTATCATCTTACAGAATAAGCTTACGCTTATGAAAAGATATTATTTTCATGTTGAATGTAATAATAAATGATCATGTCTATGACCTATTACGTGCTAAATATTTTATTTTTTTTATTGTAGGATTTGCAACACCAGCATTACCAAATCATCCTGGTATGTAATTAAAATAAAATATTGTTTAAAATCTATTCTTTATTCAAGGTCGAGCAGCATTAATATCTGGTCCAAAACGACAAGTAACTAAACAAAACAATTCAACTACAAATCGTTCAATTACTTCAAGATCAACTTCGGTTTCATCTCCAGCTTTCAGCAATATCGAACATATTCGAAGTTATTCAGTATCACATACTCATTCAGATCAAGTATCACGTACAAGCAGTGGTTCATCAACACCAACATCAAGTCGTCGTACGTCCATATCAGATAAACATGAAAAACCACGAAGAAGTATGAAATATAATAAATAACTCAAAATACATAGTTGTTTTTTTCTTAAATATAGGTAGTGCACAGATAGTTCGAGGACCAAAAAGTTTACGAGAATGGCATGAACAACCAGCTAGTCTTCTCGAACAACCATCTCTATTAGAAAAAGTTAATATTCAAATTCTTTCACCGAATAGTGATCGAGTAAAAAAAACAAATTCTTAAAAAAAATTATACAATCTTTTCTTTTAGACACATCGTCCTTTCTTCTATGAAAATAATCCTGTACGTGAAAAGTCAAAATCAGAAGAAAATTTAATCATTGAAAATGAAACTAATTCTCCAACAACGACTATATCAGATGCAACTGAAAACAAATAATATGCATTTACTATTTTTTTTTTAAATATATTTATATTTTTGTCTTTCATTAAAAAAAAAGAGTGATAAATTTATTTTAATTGTAATGTTTATATTAAGTTTATTTGTTGAATAAAAATCTTTATTCATTTGGACTAAATATGAATGAAAAACAAATAAAAAAAATTATTTTCATATTCACTAATTGTATTTCATACACGTAAACTAATTTAATACTCTACTTGTTATATATAAATATCATGTTTCATGAAGTATCAAAAGTTTTCTCATTTCAAATTTCTATATACCTGGATGGTGTATGTATATATATACTTATTTGATCTTTTTTTTGCACTCTAAAACAAATTGGTGCTCAACCGAACCTCCAAAAAAAGTTTCGCCGTGATGAGAAAGTCTTCAAACATGTTGAAAGTTTGAAAAACCCAATAAAAAATTCTACAAAACTATTAAAAGATCTTCCCGTATGTCAACGGGAAGAACCTTCTCCTACGAAACCTTTTTTATGTTCAGCACACTAGAAAAAGGCTTCGGGGGAAATACGAAACTTCTAGGGTTTCGTATTAAACTGCACAAGTACCTTAGGATCTAGTACGAAATTATTAGGGTTTTGTAGAATTTTTTATTGTATTTTTCAAACTTTGAACATGTTTAGAGACTTTTTTTGTAACGGTGAAACCTTTTTTCAAGGGTTCAGTAGAGCATCGACTTTTTTTAGAGCGTAAATAATAAGGAAAAATTTTTTTTGTATGTTCTATAAAATTGTTTACAAAGCTTTTTATGGCTGTATGTTTGTCAGATATCAGGAAGGAAGCACTATAAGCACGAATGCTTTTTGAGAATTTTTAATTCTTTATACAAAGAGTGAATACTTAATTGAAGTAAGTTTATTGTACAGAAATATCATGATTTCTTTTATAGGTAGATTTCGAGCCGAAATTGAGCTATACAAATAAATAGTAAAGTAACATGTGGTATTAGCGACATCTGAATAATTGAAATCATACGATACTAATATCATTCAGTATCAATAATATTGAATAATATGAAGTGGGAAAGTTTGTAAAAAACATCAACAAGTATATAATTGGATAACGAGTTAACCACAAAAAACGTCCGATTGGTTACTTGATCAAATTTTTTTTCTTCTTCAAAACAAACAAATTGCTTTTCCTGTGTTAATAATAAAAAAAGACGCCAGCTTTTTCATGTATTAATTATCTTTCGTTTTTTTTCATTATTTTTCATACGTATATAATGAATTTATCACTCGATACAATTTTAACAAATGCACGAGAGCTTGTTTCACGTTTACGTCGTGATGATGCAACAGCTGATACAACTGTAAGTCAAGCACAATATGTTCAAGAAAGAATTTTAAGCATGAAACAGGTTTGAATTAATTAAATATTCGAATTTCTATAAAAAAATAAAATTTCATTTTTGTTTAAGTACGGTGATGATCTTGCTGAATTGAATGATATTAGTTCACATCGTCCAAAAACAGCTATTCTTTATAGTATTCAAAAAGAAAATCGTCTTATCAAGTAAATTATATTTTAAATAAATAAATTCAATGGATTTCAAATTTAGACAATTACAAAAAGAGAATGAAGAATTGAAACAATTAGTTACTGAACATCGAAGTGTATTAGAAAAAATTATGTATAAATATCGACAACATGTACAACAACTTAGATTAATGGAAGAAAAAGAAAAAATGGCTGTTCAATTATTTAATGCAGGATTAGCACAGGTAAATAGTCTTTGTTGTTTAACAGAAAATATCAGATATCGTGACTTCTTAAGATTAGCCTATAGCAAAATTTGAAGTTATTAGGAAGAATATATAGTACATGAAAAATTAAATGTACCAAGTCATTAATTCTATGTTTAGATCTTGTTAATAATCGATATAATAAAATTGAGCATGAGTTATTTTTACTAGTTGAATAGAAACATTAAAAAATATTTTTTATTGTTTATTATAATTTAATTTCAGGAAGTTCAAGAGAAAGCATCAAAAATTCAAGAAATGGCATCAATTATGCAACGCGCAATTGATATTGATGAAATTAATAGTGCAACACAAGAAGAACGTATAAATGCATTATTAGTGGAAAATCGAGGTTTAAAAGAAATACTTGCTGTACATGAAAATATGCATCAATATGAACAATTATCTACAATTATACCACAGGTATATATTGTTAAAAATTATTTTTCATTGATAATATGATGATAAATTTTGAATAGGATTTCTTTTGAAAACATTTAGTTGTTATGGTTTCATATTGACTGAATATTAGTCATTCACAAGCGAGGTGATAATTTGAATGAAATTTTTACCTATAACAGTTCATTTTGTTTTTTTTCTTTAGCGAGCTATGAGTTCTTTAAGTAAATACCAATAATTTAGGATTATCTTTTTCTTAGATAATAAAATTTTATTATTTGGCTATAAATACTATCTTGTTTATGACATGCTTTTGGAACATAAGATTATTTTTTTAATAATCATGATTATGTTTTATCATAAAATGAGTACAAAATCTTACATATTAGAATATCTCCTTAAAGTTTTAGCGAATCAAATTTTATTTGTAAAAAGACATACGATAATTGAATATTTGAGGAACATGTGACATGTCTTATGAACTTATGATGACATACTTCCCGTTGAAGATGAATTTTCTTTTCTATTCCATAAGTTTGAAGTTTCCTCATGTGAAAATAATCGATAGCTAACTAGATTCCTCTATTCATGATTTGTCCTCGTCGAATTTAATCTTCTGGAATCTATAAACGCACGCAACTGCGCCAATGTTATATTTCTCGTTGCCCTTTGTCAATATCATTGTCCTTTAATTACTCTACCATATGAAATAAATGTGACACAAAAAAAAAGAACTAATGAGTATGTTGTCAGCATATAAAACTAGTTCGATATCTTCTCGCATCATTTTATTTATAAATAACGTAAAAGGGTCGATTGTTTATTATTAGTAAAATCTAATTTTTTTTCTCTTTTTATGGTTAGATTAAGTCTGGAGATTTTAATAGACTTTTTTTTAAAGAGCTCTTAAAATCTACTAAAATATGTTACAAGATTCTTTTCAGAACAAATGGATTCTTTTATTTTTTTCTATTTATATATTTCATTAATTCTTTAGAATACGATGACTTTTTTTGTATAGTTTTCTTTTTTCAATAGATATAAACATTGATAGTATTGTCCTATCTATTTGTTACAATAATAAAAAAAAAGATTATTTATCATTTATTGAAATCTTTAATCAGATTTCTATTCAATATCTTAATCTTCTTATAAAATGACAAAAAGATCTTATTTTAATATTTTAGTCTACTACAATTGAACCTTCAGTCGTTCAGTCAACTTCTCTTCCAACGACAACTTCATCTTCCACACAACTAGAAGAATCATCTTGATTACGAAAGTTCTCTTTTTTATCCGTGATCATTCCAGTTGTAAATTTTTTTATTTCATTCTAAAATAGTTGCATTTTGTTTGTCATATTCCTTTCCTAATTACAGTCTAGTCGTGTTTAACAAAACAAAAAAACAAACTTATTTTTTTCTTTTACTTATTTGTGTTTAGTTTCTCTTCAGATTTCTAAAAAAACAAAAATCTATCTGACCAAAATGCATTTATAATAGGTACGTGTGAAATTTAAATTAATCGTACGAAATCATTTCTTCTAAGAGAGTATCATATATCTTCTTCTTTAGTCATATATATATATATATTTGATCATGAAAATGAGTAAAAGATAAATCAAAAACCATTGATCATGATGAGTCCAACAAAAAGAATACTGAATTGGGACGATCAGCAACAACAACAACGACAAGTAATATTATTTTGTTATTTCATATTAATTAACAATTACATTTCTTCTTAATTGTAACGCACATTTGACAGCTTACTAATTTCGATAATTTTATGATCAACACCTACACCTACCATCTTCTTCATTTTACTAATGACTATGACGGAAATTAATATTCAGAATAATAACGATTGAAGAACATATAGAAATATTAAACGGATGCGTTTATGCTCATTTTACCACACAATATAGAAAAGTGTTGACATCATTAATAAAATAGAGATTGTATCTAATGAGTTTATTATTAAGGATATTCATATTGATATAATAAGATTGAATATATATATTTTTTTAGTTATATTTTAAACGCCATACGGATTCGACTTTAATATGGACGGAAAATATATTACTCTTATCGATTGGTACAATTGTACTATTTGCAGTTTTAACTCTTGTAGGAGTGGTAAATAATTTGTTTTATTTCCGAAAAAAAGAAAACGAACAAATTTTTTTGTTCAGGTATATTGGTGTTCAAAACAACAGCAACAACAACATCGATTATTAAAAAATCAACCTGAACCATCTGAATTAACTCCATTTTCATCAACAAATAATAAAATAATTAAGCCAAAAGAAATAACATTATTTCCTATTGCTCATAAATTTGCTGACCTTCATGCATCAGATATTACTAATGATACCTACTCATTATCATCAACATCGTCATCAGAACATCATACAGCGAAAACATCTCGAAATAAAAATCTTTTACAAAGGTAATTTATTTATCATGTCGATTAATTGAGTAAATAAAAATAGATATATATGTTAAGAAACTCTTTTAGATAAAAAAACAAAAGTTGCGTAGGCGGTTCTTACTGATAAGGTATGAAGGGAAAGATAATTTATATAGAACAGATATTTTTTATGGTCTGTTAAATGATACTATGCTCCAATGAGCAATTACCACCAGTTGCATATAGATATATGTATATATATCAAAACTAGTTTAATTGAAACATTAATTGTAGGCGGTTTTTTTCCTTTTTTTCTATTTGATTCTGAAGTGTTTGCTATCTTTATAAGTACAAAAATAGAGAATTCTTCTTTTTTTACGTTATAAAAGTAGGCGTTCTTAGATATTTTTATAGAGATATCATGCGTTTTTCGTATATAAAGTATCTGAGTAATTTAATATTTTTAAATATGTATACGAAAGTAATATATCACAAATTTGATCACCTTTGAAAGATTTAAATAGTATTGATATATACATAAATATATCAGTATCAGATGGAAGTCGAACATCCAAATATTCATTATAAATTGTGGAGTACACCGACATCACACTTATTTAAACGAAGGTCAGTGAGTTTATTATTGTTCGTAGCTAAGAGACTTTGTTAGTAACATCTTTATCCTATATGGTATTATTTTAACAATTCATATGTATATTATAAAATTCGTTTTGTTTTAGGAGAGGGCCTAATAATGCATTAACAATATCTGTAACTCCAGTACATCTTGTTTTGAATAGTCCACCAGCTGATTGGTAAGAATACAATCAATATTATTAATATAATAATATTCTTATGTTTAGTTCGACTGATGAATATTTACAAACAGCAACAAGAAAATTAACAATTAATGAACTTCATCAACATGCACAAGATACTCGTTCACTCTATCAAGAATTTTGGGTGCGTATAATAAATATAGATACATGTGATATTGACAATGACCCACATATAAGATTACATATATTATTGAGTGTAAATATATCGATATTTTGTAAGCTGTATCACATATCAAAAATAATATCGTCTTTTGTTTTGAAGACGAAACAAAAATGCACATAGAATGAATATCTTACTTAATGATGAAATCATAACTATCTAATTACTGCTAAATTACAATACTTAGATTGAATTTTAATCGAGAGTCGGATTTGATTTTCATACAGAATAATGTCCTATTATATTTATAGTCAGTACCAACAAATCATCTTGAAAAACTTCGTATTTATGGTGCTGGTACAAAAAATCGCTATGGTACAATCATTGCAAGTAAAACTTACGTTTATAATTTATTATTCAAATAAAAAAGAAATTTATTTCTAATTTTTAGATGAACATTCTCGAGTGAAATTACCTGAAATAGCCGGTGATTCTATATCATCATATATCAATGCAAATTATGTCAATGGTTGGCCAAATGAATATCATGCATTTATTGCAACGCAAGGTCCATTGTCGAATACAGTTATTGATTTTTATCGAATGATTTGGCAAGAACATGTATCTGTTATTGTTATGATTACACGTTTATTTGAAAAAAATAAAGTAAAATTTATAATTGAATTTGAAAATAAGAAAATTTGTTTTTTTTCTATTAGTCAAAATGTGAACGATATATTCCAGATTCACATGCGAATCAATATGGACCATTTCATGTTGAGATAAAATCAACAATTTATCGAAATGATTATGAAATACGAAGATTAATTATTACAGTAAATAAATTGATTTATTAATTGTTTAGTTTTTTTTAACTAAGATTATTTTAGTTCGAAAATGAACAACGTGAAATTGATCATTATTGGTATACAGGTAAATAATCTACAAGTTGAAAAAGTTTAATCTATAAAAATTTGATTATTTAGCATGGCCAGATCAATCAAGTCCAGATATTGCAAAACCATTAATTGAACTTGTTGATAAAGTTGAAAATAGTCGAATTGAATTATCTAAAATTAATAATAAATCTGGTCCTGTTGTAGTTCATTGCAGGTACA